CTGGCCAGCTGGCTGAGAACACATTTCCCTGATTTCTGAAGACCAGGTATAGATGTGCAAGTAAATTCCCACCAAAGGAATGTGAACACAGTTGATTTATGCCCCTAACTTCATTTTTTCCTGAAAAATTTCATAATGCATGAAAAGATTGTATTGTTTATTAAAGTTTTTAAAGTAAAAAAAAAAGCTAAAATTGCTTTCAATGCAAAGATAATAGCAAGGACATTAAGATGTGCAGAAGTTCTGATAAATGAATTTTGCCTTCTTGTTTCATTTTATGTCAGCTTCTTACACTGGGAAAATAACAAAAAAATATTTTAGAAAGTGTCCTTTACAAACATTCTGAATCTTCTGGTAATAACTTTTTTCTAATGTTTCTAATGTCCTGGCCTGAATCATAAAATAGAGCAACCCATGCCAACTAGGTCATTAGCCTGTTAGATCTGCATGCTATTGTTCACGTAAATGAGAGCTGCCAAAGCTTTTCCAAAAGCCATAAAGACAGTATTTCAAACAGCTTACAATGATGCGTATGATAGTGAGAAGGTAGCACAAGTCTGAAATAGGGATGAAGGAAGAATAACAAATATAGAGAAAAAGGATATCCAAGAATATGGTTACGACCGGATACCATAAGGAAGTAAAGCTCATTTCAAGTATGCATCAGCCTCAAGATTTGCACCAACCTTTTTATTAGTCCACATGAAACAGGACATCCTCTTTTTATTCCAATTCTCCATGTTCACAGAATAAAAAGCAAAATCAATTTCTCAGGAGATTTTATTTTTAGTATTCAAAGGGTTTTTGGGTGTCCAAATACATTTGATTATTAAAATTCAGATAACCCTCCAACTTATCATTTGGGTTGGGGCAGTGGAGGAAAGTGTTTAAAAACCATCTCATTTTTAAATGACATGTAAATATACTATTGAGCTTATCATGTGTTCAAAATTAACATACATAAAAATGCCTTCCTATGTATCTATATCGGTATTACATAAAATAATATTTACCGGTATGTATAAAATGGGACTTTTAACCTAAAAATATGTTCTGCTGATATGCACTTGAGCTAACATTCGTTAAAAGGCTTCTTGTATAAAGCATTGTACAAGCACTCTTCTCTCTCCCATTTCTCCTACACTGTAATTAGGAAGAGGAACTAAATATAACAACTGTTAAAATTTTAAGGAAGCCTATATGTCTCCTTGCAAAGCCCTTGACTAATATGTGTGTATTTTATTTTTGTCTACTGCTAAAAATATCCTGTGCATTGTTCTTAGAATTACATAGCTGCCTAGAAATATCCATCTACGTGTTCTGCATGAATTGGAAGCACCAGCTGTCTGGTGTCAGGTGGGAGTCACAGTTTCTCCACGACCATCTAGTTCCTCATTGCTGAGAGGACTTGCCTGGCAACTGTGAGTGTGTGGTAATGTGGGTAACCAGATACCATGTAAGTAGAACAAACAAGAGATAACCTGGGAAGTGAGTTGTCTTCACCTTCTGATTGATTTTTCCCCCTCGAGAGAAAAATTCTCTGCATTATTTAACCTTTCTACATCTCAGGTTTTCTCTATTTCTTAGAAAGCTGTTTTCACCCCAAACTAGATTCATCTCAGAATAATTTCACTACTGTATATATCTGTTCTCTGATCACTAGTAATATAATTTCCTGCTTGTTTCAAAGTAAACTAAATTAAATCTGTCTTCTAAGAATGTAAAAACTATTTTTTCTCCATATTTTTTATAGTAAATGAATAATTGTATTTTAACAGTCTTTTATGATAGGCATTCCTATAGTTTACTATCTTTTGCTACTAAAACAGTGATGGTTGGCTAAACTAAAATGCACATGATGTCATTCTTATGCTAGCAGGAAGGGTTAAGTCCCTAAAATGAAACTTTTTTTATATTATTTACTATATTTTAGGTAAAGATCTGTCCAACATTCTGATCAGATATGGAGAAGAGCCATGACTCTGCAAGCATAACACATGGACAGATGTGTAGTTCTCTGTGACTACACTAAACATATAAATGTCATGTTACTACACTTCCATCTGTTTCATTTCCCTGCAGACATGGACTAGGTCCGCTGTTTTTCTACCACAGCAACAAGAAAAGATACTTATACTAGACATTTGTTTACTGGCTACTTTAATATATTATGGCTTCTCTGGTTAATTCTCGACTTGATTTCATTAATACCGACCAATTTGCTCCAAAACTGCCTGAGGGTTTCCTGCTTTCCTTTAATCTCCCAGTTTCCTAAAAACAATGACTAGTGTTTTTACATTGGAGCTGCTGTAATAACAATTGAGTTCAGCGAGGTAGAGTAAAAAACGCAATGGTTTTCCCTCAAAATACCTGTAGTTGAGTTAACAAAAACACCAAAACTTCTGTGACCCCTCCTCTCTACCACTTTAAGTTTATGGGCTTCGGTTCCAGAAAAACCAAGTCATTAGTGAGAGCACATTGTACCTCCCAGGCCACAGGAACAGGTGTAGGGCTGTGCATTTGACTCAGTGGGAACCAGTAAGATGCAATGAGATATTTCTGGAGTTTTCAGGAAAGCACTGGCTACAGTTTCCTAGTAGACCTGAACATTACTGCAGTCACTGTAGACAATATACCACTGTACAGATCCTGAGAATCAAATGCATATACGGAGGAGAGAGTTGGCGAAAAGCTTGATCATTGTGGTGACATGTGTTTTGTTCCTGAGTGTACTCTCGCTTAATGTCAGTTCCATACCTAGACTTTTCAGTTAGGAGCACCAATAAATCCTCCACCTGTTGTTTGTTTTTGTTTTTATCATTTTGAAGAAATACTAAAAAAAATAGATCCACCAACTTGCTTGGTTGCATCTAAGTGAATCAAATCAGTTTCTCTTCTATAAAATAGCTTGCTTGGACCAAGGTCACTTTCTATGCTAAATTTATGAGAGAAAATTTCCTTTAAGTCTAAGTGATCTGTCAGTCCCAAACAGGGTGTGATTTTTGCATTTTGGATATTGACCTATGGAATATCTGAATCCATGTATCGACTAGTCAGGTGTCACTGGGCATCTACTCTATTCCCAGGAAATGTGAGCTGTTCCATCTTTCTGTGTTATTCCAGAGAATAAGAAAATAACTAAAGCATGAGCACTGAATTATGTGAGGACTCAAGGATTTTACAGCACCTTGTCTCATGATTTATCGTTCATGTCTATCTACTCAAGCAGATAAAAGCTATTTGCTAACAGATACTTTGCTTATGATTGATTGTTCCCAATAAAGCCTTACAAAGTGTGTCACAAACAATTAGGTTTGGCTAGCTGCGACAGGTACAGTGATAGGAGTTTATTTCCTCCTACTGGAAAAGCAATGTGGATGCACGCGGTCCTTAGCTAGTGTAGTGGCTCCATGACAACCAAGGATCCAGGGTTCTTGCAGCTCTTGCCTCAATGACCCCGAGGGTTACAGGGCATCTGATAAATTTGAGATTATGGCATTAAAATGTCTCTACTTCTGTACGATGGTGAGAATATGGTTTTTTTCCCCCTGAAATCTTTATTTGGCAAAAAAAGTTGACAAACTTATATAGAGGCCCCCCCAGCTACCTCCCTACACTCATTTGCCATCCTTGCTAGTTTAAAACATTTTTAAACTGGTCTATGAAATTCTAGCTTGGAAATCACTAGCTAATTGTAAATCAGCATTCCCATACAAATTGCAGCAGTGAATTAGAGACATAAATGAAAATAACCTTTCTCCTTACATCTAAGAATGATCTTCACACCAAGATTGAGTCATTTTGCAAATAATGACCCGAGAAAGGTACTTAATAGGCACCTGACTCAGTCTTTCTTCAGAATGTACAGAAGCATTAAATGCAAGAATGATTTTAATATGATTTTTATGAACTCTCATGCAAAAATGTAACAATAACTAATACTTACTACAATGTGTAGCAAGAAGTGTTTAAGAGCACAGATTAAGAATCTACATGCCTGAGTTAAATCCCAGCTCTGCTGCTTAGTGGCTATGTGACTGTGTGCCTACTGAAGAAGTACCACAGTCACCAGTATTTCGTAGGTGAGAAAATGGAGGTTTAAGGGTTGCTCCAAATCAGTTCATCAGTGATTGAACCAGCACTGAATTCCAGATTTAAATGATGACAGATTTCCTTTTTAAAAACTACTTAAACGGACCCCTAGATAATAGATATAAAGGGGTCAGTTTAAGTAGTTTTGTTAACAAAACTACTTAAAAGAAGCTTTGTTCTTTTGGTAGCTTTGTTAAAAGAAGTATGCCCTAAATTCTCTCTTAAACCTCATATTATACTGTCTCTCAGTAGCCTGGATCTGGATGATAAACCTCCAAATTTTTTATTAGCAAGTAGAACTAACTCTAACAAAATTAATTCCAATTTTAGAAAGCTGTTTTAGAGGATCTTCCTTTTGGAGAACTAAAAGAGACTTCCTTGTAAATGCTGTCCATTAGCTACAGATCCTTCTTCAGTTGTTGACTTTCAGATGGTAACCACAAGATTTTTAGGGCAGTGAAAAAAACACTGTTACAATGATGTATACATGTCCTTGCACGTTTATCTAAACTCACAGGATATACAACACCAGGAGTGAACTATGGATTTCGCATGATAGTGACGTGTCAATACAGGTTTATCGACTTTAACAAGTGTACCACTCTGGTGGGTGATGTTGGTAAAGGTGAAAGCGATGCATGTGTGGGGGCTGGTGGTATATGGGAAATCTCTGTACTTTCAATTTTGCCATTAAAAAAATCAAGTCCCTTAAAAAAGGATAATCATACTGTCGAGACAACAACAAAATTCTAGCACATGTTGTGACAAAATTTTTGTGCTGTTTAGTGAGAGGAATATAGAAGAAGTACAGATGACAGAATCAATGAAAATTTATGATGGAAAAGAAAATTATTTGCAAAACTGAAATCTTTCAGAAACTATTAAAGGAAGGATTTCAGAAACAGAAGCACACTGATAGTTAATTTTATTTGTTCAAGGATTCATATTGCAAGCATTAAACTACACCTGGGCTTCAGTTCTGTGAGCCCAAATTCACATACTCGGGAAGATGGAAGCAAACTGTGATCCATGTACATGGACGGGAACTAAAGGTTCGTGGTTGATCACGTTGCAGTGTTTAAATTTCTACAGTCTAGAAGCTCGCAGTCACAGGTCTTTGAGGTCCTTCTGGATGTTCCACAGGGTATCTGCGCTCTTGTTGAGTTGAGCAACCTCATCATCCTTCAGTTTCTGGTTGATGACACTGGTTAATCCCTGAGCATTCAGGATACATGGAAGGCTCAGGAAGACTTCGTTCTCAATGCCATACATCCCCTGCCAGACAAGGAAAGCATTTAGATGAAAAAATACAAGCAGAGGTAAGACTAATCACAGGTCCCATGTTTGAGCAGAAAGAATTTTTGTAAGCACAAACTCAATCTTCAGTTTTCATCACTTACAGGCCCATATTTCCATACTACTTGTGTTTTGAATTAGGTTTTATACATGGAATAGACTAATATACACTATGGTAAAACTAGAAATTTTGTAAGAATGTAGTAAGTACTTCATTGAACTTACTGGCAACTCTCTCTCTTAGATACCTTAACAGAAATTAATATATAAGTCTTCAAATTAAATTACATTCAAATATGCTTCTTAGTGGGCTACTTTTAATGCAATCTTAAGTTTCTTAAAATTCTTTAGTTCAAAAGAGAATTTCAGGTGGTTGCCAGCCTATGATGTCCAGAATAGTGGTCGTACAATATCTAAAACACTTTACCAGTTTGTATAAAGTAATTTACTTATAGTCAATTTTACTACATAATTACTTAAATTATTTAATTATGTTAAAGTTGTTCATTTAAATTTGTAATTTCCAAATTTTTTGTATATACACAAAAGTAGAGAGAATAAGCAAATTCTTATATATGTACTCTAAGACACTAATTTTGCCATACCTGCTTTTTAAAAAATCTGACATTTTATTCCCAAATGCTTTATATTTATCTTTTTTTGTATGCTTCTTTTAATCTACTGCACCCATCTTAATATTTTACCTTGGACATTGACTTTTGGAAAATGAGTTTTCTTACAAAATATCTTAATACAATTTTAGTTTTATTAAAAAAATTACTTAGTTGTTTCATAGCTCTTGAATTAAACTAAATTTGCTTGGGTATCAAGTGCTATATCAAATGCAATCTATAGTTTAATATACCAAGTTAAAATAAAACTATTATGTACTTATTTAAATGATTATTTATTGTGAGGATATGCCAAATAAGATTGAGATAATATTTAATTTGCCACATCATACATGAAAAATTATAAAAGTTTATTGAATGTTTTAGCCTCTAAAATTTGTGCTCATTGTCTTGGACTTCTGTAGTAAAAGAAGAAATCTCCCTAAAACTTTGAGATACAGAAATAACTGTGTACTGAGACTTTATCTTCTCCTAGTTTAAGTGAATCTATTTATAGAATACAAAACTAGAAACCATTTTATACGTTGTAACAGTTTGTCTTACCTTCACCATGGTTGATACTGGATGAATCCTGGATAAATTTTTGAATATGGACTCAATGAGGTCGGCCACACTTAATCCAATAGCCCAGTTGGTATACCCTTTTAGCTTGATAATTTCATAGGCACTAAGAGGAAAAAAACATTCATAACAGAAATCACTAAAATTGGACTCAAGTTATTAAAACCAGACTTTTTGGTTTTGACTCCTACTGTGTTTTTTTTATGAACTATGTAATCTTGTTTAAATTATTTAACCTTTCATGCCCTGGCTGTTGTGGTTCAGTGAATTGAGCACCAGCCTGCAAACCAAAAGGTTACTGGTTTGATTCCCAGTCAGGGCACATGCCTGGGTTGTGGGCCAGGTCCCCCAGTAGAGGGCGTGTGAGAGGCAACCACACTTTGATGTTTCCCTCCCCCCTCTCTCTTTCCATTCCCCTCTCTAAAAATAAATAAAATATTTAAAGCAAATAAATTATCTATTTGCAGGTCAAATTCCAGAAAAAATATCATTAAAATTGAACTGAATAAAATGATTCCATATTTGAAATATCAGTTAGTTTTGTTACAATAATTTTCTGTAAATAACAGCTAATATTAAAAGCTCATCAATGATAAGTGTGTGCATAGGTATGTCTGCTTTTACTCAATTTGTACAATAATTCTATTACCATATGACTTTCCAGAGGAGAAAAGCAAGATGAAACTTAAAGGTTAAATGACTTCCCTGAGACTATATAGTTAGTGTTGGTGCCATGACTGAATCCAGAGCCAAATGACACCTTGTTTCATGATAAGCACAAACATCATAGAAAGAGAGAATGGTTAGTCTCAAGAGTCAGTTTCCAGAAAAAGAAAATGGAAGGGGGACCTTTTAATCTGAATATGGAAAGGTAAATATAGCACAGCTTAATTTCAAACACTTTCAACAATCAACCAGCCAGTATTTATTTTAGGCAATTACGAGACTAGGAGTCTCCTTCTATAAGACACTTTTCAAACGCCGGTCTCACTTATTAACGCCATGTTTTGCTCCTGTTATCTCTACAACAGAATGTCTCTAGAAAAATATTTGCTTCCCCCGCAGGGACTGGTGTGGCACATTTGACCTGTGTAAGGTGGTCTGGTCTGTTTCAGCAGCTGCATATAATTTTATCTGAGTGAAGATGCACATAATTGCCTTAAATCAAGCCCCTCCAAGTACCTCTCCACCACCATCTTGTGCACTTCCTTCCAGTTCTCACTGTCATCGTCCGTCCCCATTTCCGGATTCAGCTCCTGAAGAGAAACGCCGGCCACGTTCACCCCACTCCACACGGCCACTATAAATAAGAAAATAAAAATAAGAATAGACATTGTACACATTTCTGACACTGTTTTCAGAAACCTTTTCTTCTCTTAGTTCAGATTTCACCTCTAATGCAGGCTACCCACTGGACCTGCTCCAGTGACAAATGACTCCAGTCTACGGGCCCCACAAGGCCAACATTGGCCTTCAAAGGGCCACACATCGGATCTTTTAACTTTCAACCATTTTGGTGCAAAAACAGGATGATTGTGTCACACCTACAGAAACTTTTTGTTTCTACCTACAGTACCTACAGGGACTTTTTGTTTTTCTCTAGGTTCATAAAATCACAAGAAATTCTGGTTCAGAAATGTCCTAAAGTTTTGGTTTAAGAAAATTTTAATTTTCCTCCTGTTTATATTTCTAATATAAGCCCCATTTTTTTCTGGAGCAAGGTTAAAAAAAATCTTGGGTAGCCAAATGATCTCTTTTCATGCCTCCAGTTCAATCTATTTCTTGAAAGAAACTTCATGTAACCACAATGATTTTTTTCTGGTCTTAACTGGATCAAATATTTCCTTCTAAGAATGGCTCCAGAGGCCCAGCAGACGAGCCCCAAGGCTGTATCTTTTGGGGGTTCTGGCACACCAGCACAACCCCCTTGTCTATTCTAACACCCCCTGCCCAGCCAGGAGCCGGTATTGAAGACCTAGGCATACAAAGATGAGTAAAGACACACTCTACAACACGGACAAGCTCAGAAGCTAATGCGAGAAACAGACAAGGGAAGGAAACTAAAGCAAGGATTAGCTCTCACAGAAGTAGGGGGGAAGCATAATAAAACATGAATAGGGGGCTACTTAATGTAGGGGAAAAGGAGTGTCAGAACGGGCTACAAAGTATAGGCATTTCAACCGGCCCTTAAGCAGTAAGTGCGTGTGTTCCTCATGGACGTTTGGAGGAAAGCAACACAGTCTCGGGGAATATGAGTAAGGGCACGGGGTGAAGTCTAGCACGGATGTGAAGGGCAGAGCTGCCCATGGCCAAGCAAAACCTCTTTTAGTCCACGACTTTTGCAAATTCTGGCCAGTAGTGGAAAAGCACTAGAACATTTTCATGGTCTGTGAAAACTGTGAGGTCTACATAATTGTGCCATAGTGAGCATGCCTGAATTCTCTTCATTCCACATACATAATATTGATCAATAGGGAAACAGGAAAAAAGATGTTTTGGAAAAAAATGACACAGTAGCGTGTGAATAGAACATTGGTTTGGGACATGATTGTAGTTGTAATTAGGCCACTAATTAAGTAAAGGACCATCAACAAGCCACAGTGGTGGCTTTGCCTCTATTTTTTCCTCATTGAAAGGCAAGTCTTGAACTAGAGAACATACCATATCACTTTCAGATCTGTGGTTCTAGTAATTGTATATTTGTAAAGACTAGCATTTATTAAACTTTTACTATATACCAGACACTGTACTAAATACTTTATATAGGAAATAAATTCAGATAAATCCTTGGATAGGAAGAACTCTTGAATAAAATATATCAAAAAAAATCAGTCTCATTGTATAAAAAGCACAAGTGCAAAGAAATGAACTCTTTGCATATTGGGTAGAAATAAATTTAGTGTAATGTAGATCATGGTTATCATTAATATTAAAGTTTTGTATTATTACAGTTTTATACAATAAGCCCATTCAATGCATAAAATAATTCTGTGTTTAATAAATAGGCTTAGAGTTATTAAATATAACCACAATTGTTTGTAAATGGTTTTACATAAAATTGGAACAGAACTATTCATTTCAATGAAAAGAGAAATATCAACTTCACATTTAGAATAAATGATGCTTAACTATTTCAATATTAATATTGTTACAATTATTCATTGATGTCCAATAATTCTGGTTAAATTCCTCAAGAAAATATTTGATAAATACACCATAAGGTTTCATACTATTTGAGTGATTGTTAGTTATCATTAATAGTTTATTAGAAGTGAGATTTCATTTGAAGCAAGATTTATTTTGCATTATTGAATAGTAGACACTGGTTATTTAAAAGCCTTGGCTGCCCAGTGCATCTGTCTCCCGTAAACACAACGGCTATTCCAGCTCTGTCCAGTGAGTCTAGTAGCCAACACACACCAGGAGCATGAGCACACCTATCCCAGGTCATGGTTTCTAAACACCATTCTCCTTAGAAGGAAACTGGGCTCATCGGAGACGTGGATGGTGCTAATGCTGGTAAGGGGGTGGAGGAGATGAACCTGGTGCACTGTATTGTTCCAGAAAGCAAGGCAGGGCTCAAGAAATGGTGAGATGTCAGAAAGACAGGAGAGCCAGCCTAAGAAGTCTGTTACTTGAAAAACGTGAGACAATTTGTGCACTAGAACAAGGGTAACAGAACTTTTGTGAAATAAAAAAAAAATCTGAGTCTGTACTGATATTAATAAAAGAATAAATAAGTGGAGAAGAGGAAGCTTTCTCTTACAGTAGAATGCAAATAATAAATATAGAAAATATGAGATTAGTATGTGATACGTGATATCATCATAACACAGGTACTTGCTTAATTTCTATCAAAGTTACCTTCCACAAATTACTTATTTGTAATGTTAAGTATGTGAACATGTATAAAATAAAATTTAAAAACAAAAAATCCATAATGGCAAGAATACCATAAGTAGTACACATTAAATATTATCTATTTTTTGTTTTCTTTTTATTATGTTTACCACTTGAGTCGCCGTGTTCTCCCAAAATCCACCCATGGCAGCTGCTGGGATGAATGCCAAGTTTTTCAGCCATAAGGTAGCGGAATCGAGCAGAATCCAGATTACATCCACTTCCAATCACACGGTGCTTGGGTAATCCACTTAGTTTCCAGGTAACATAGGTGAGAATATCCACTAAAAATTTAGAAAAAAAATGTAAGTAACTCAAAACTCATTTCAACTGCTATGTAAATTCATGAGAGGCTCAGCTTCCTCCTCTTCCATTTCTCGACTCCTAAAATGGGTCGTGCCTAGAAAGATGCAAATACCGTGACTATGTTTGAGACGATAGGGATTAGAGAGACAAGGAAAATGAATCTTTGTGTTTTATTTACATTATTACTTGAAACAAGAACATATAAGAACCTAGAAGATTAATTAATTTCACTGTGTGTGGAAAGAAAGACAAGGGGTTGAATTAGACCATCACTTCAGTTTCTTCTACTTTGTACATTCCATGACTGTTAAAGACAGTCGTCATACACCAGAAGCCATTGGTTACTGAATTACTAAGGAATGCTACTACAGATTTTCCAGGGGCACAGATGCTATTCAGTAAATAACTGTTAAATGCAAGATATTAACATTTCCCACCATTTAATAAGAAGACCTCTGTGACAGCTTTTATTCTGGCGTGGTGCCGCCTTGAGTCAGCAGAGGCAAAACTCACTGGCCACAGTCCTCACAGGCTGAGCTATGTAAGTAGGAATATATGCATGCAAGGAAGATGAGGAGTTAATTTGCGGCCCCAACTCCACAGTCGTAAATAGACGCTGGCTAAGCTATTTTAAGATTATTGTGGACAGATATTACAAACTCTTCCTTGGCAACTTGGATTCAGCAAGAGGGACTCGAGGGTGTCGAGACTTTGAAGCTATCCCTGGAAAGTTGTGCGACTGGTTATTAATATCTGCCTCAGACACAGGCCATAACAACGTCTCATGTGCCAGGTGTCTGTCATTCCTGTTCTATATCTATCTGCCACCATGAGGACTTTTAGACGCACGGCTGAACTATTTAGTAAGCTGTAACCCAAGAGACTAGGATTCCTGAAATAATTTCATCTTTGCTGGCACTCAGCTCTCAATATTTCATAAAGTATAAGGATTCCCCGGCTCTTACAATCTTTCTTAATATGAACTATGAGAAATAATCAGCTGTACCATTTTTTCAATAGTCTATTATGCTCACCAGTAAACAGTAAGTTTGGTGGCAAATTATAGACAAAATAAGATTGAAAGAGAGAGTGGATTTAAACTATGTAGGTAAAAAAATGTAATTCTTTCTAACCAGAAGTATTGTTTTAACATTTGGTGTTAGCATGTGTTTGTCTATTAATATAGTCTATTTCTATATTTAAACCAAGACTGAATAATGGTTTTCTTACACTTTTTGTTTCAAATTCAATCTGATTCAGTTATGAAGAGTTTTAGAGATAAGGAACACAGAAGATCAAATATGCTAAAATGTTTCTTAGAAACTGAAGCTACACTCAAATGCTTCATTACGTATCCCAGAATAATCTTTACAAAAATTTTAAGAGCGGTTACACTCTAAAACAATCCCAGATAGAATAGACAACACTGCTTCATATTAATCAATACTTTTTTCCCATTTTTAAACGTTTGGCCTCAGATGGTGCCATTTGTTTTGCAAACACCACTCTTTTGGGGCCAATAACAGAAGCCATGCAAATCGCTTCTGCTAGTGCATGCCAGGACAGATTTTCTCAAATTCAAAAAATAAAAAACAAAACCAAACAAAACCAGAAAGCTTTGACCTTAACATAACTGATCCCTTTATAACTGATTAACATACCTGGGTTAGAAACCACAAGTATGATGCAGTCAGGGCTGTACTTGACGATCTGAGGAATGATGAATTTGAAGACATTGACGTTCCTCTGCACCAGGTTGAGACGACTCTCTCCCTCTTGCTGGCGAACTCCTGCGGTTACCACCACGATCTTCGAATTGGCGGTCACAGAGTAGTCTGGAAGGACGGGGAAAAGGTACTTCAAATGCAGTGCTTCATCAAAACCTCTCGGGTATGGTACACTCTAAAACTAGCTAAATATCCATAAGCTCCTAGAATTTATGTGAGAATTATGTGTTTCTGTATTAAAGGTTTTGAAGTACAATGTTCCTGTGGCTTCTTTCTCCTATATGAAAACATTCCAAACATAAAATTAGCTCAGAGAATGGACCAAGGAAGTAAAGTTGGTCCTAAATTAGGTTTCTGGCTGCCCTGCCTGCTGTGGCTCAGTGGATTGAGTGCCAACCTGAGAACCAAAGGGTCAATGGTTTGATTCCCAGTTAGGGCACATGCTTGGGTTGCAGGCCAGGTCCCTAGTTGGGGGCAGGCAAAAGGCAACCACACATCGATGTTTCTCTCCCTCTCTTTCTCCCTCCCTCTCTAAAAATAAGTAAATAAAATCTTTAAAAAATATGTTTCTGGCTAACAAAATCAACTTGCTATTGACTTTAGAGAAAATTGGATTGTCAGTAATGACACAAAACATAAACTGTGAGTTCAACAGGCAGCGCTTCAATAAAAATAAACAATGTAAAAGGTACCTTTAGGTCTGTAGTATTGATTCAATCTGTGTTCCTTCCATGGGGAAGGAAGGAACTCAACTGTTTATTCTTGGCTAGCAATTAATTTCTAATCCTCAAGTTTATTCATTTTTAGCAGCGAGTTTTTCTAGAGAACGTGTTATTTCTTCCTCAAGTAAATGTGTCCTTTCCCAAAATAAACAGACATGATGACTTGATGTGGTCATTGGACCTATTAACTACGGATGACATAATTAAACTGTGTTGCTATGTAACCTCTGAGGGTCACTACTGTTTTATCAATTTCCTCTGCCATAAAGTAGATGTAATAGGATAGAATCCTCATAGGGCTGTTGTGAAGATGAAGTAAAATGAGACGTGCAAAAATTGCATAGTAAACAGAATGCTTAACCATTCAATCAATAACAGGTATCAGTAGTAGTCGTGTTGTTAGAAATCACTTTGGAACCCACATTCCTACATCTGTAGGCACAGCCATGCTGTGCGGGCAGAATCACTGCATGAATGTGCTAATCCAGGATGGCTAAGATATGAATTTATTTAGTGTCTTCAAGGCATTCAAATAACTTACTTTGCGTAATTCCCCCCCATCTAAAACCTTCCCATTCTCAGATACACATAAACAAACATAATAACAATATGCTAAAATGTGACACATCAAATGTATGAAGTCAGGTGGGGGTTTGTTTATAGAGGCAACGCTGTGTTTGTCCGCCAGAATGAATCGGAACCAGAAGAAGAGAAGAACTGGCAACACTACACTCATCACGATGGAAAGACTAAATGTTGTATCAGGAAGAGAGGATATCTCTCTATCTTAAAGGTTTTATTTATTTACTCCTAGAGAGAGAGAAAGGGAGGGAGAAAGAGAGGGAGAGAAACATCAATGTGTAGCTGCATCTCATGAGCACCCCAATGGGGTCCTGGCCTGCAACTCAGGCACGCACCATGACTGGGAATTGAACCAGCAACCCTTCGGTTCCCAGGCTCGTGCTCAATCCACCGAGCCACACCAGCTAGGGCTCAATTTATTATTAGATAGATCACACTGGGCTCAAAATGATACTACCTTTATCTGCCACAATTTTCGGTGTCTGAAGAAACAAGCTCCCATGCTGCAGGTCCATCATTTCTCCTTTGAGTTTATCTTCCAATACGTCCACCAGAGCAAGCTCATCGGCCAGGGACTAGAGTCACAACAACAGGTGTTAGTCCCCTAAGCTACTCTAGGACACCCCAGTTCACAGTATAACCCAGAAACCCTTTCAATGGCTAAGAGCCCAGTGTCTAAAAACCTTAAGACTTTTATTATAGAATTAGGTGAGTTCTTTTATTTAAACAGCAACAACAACAAAAAATCTTTTATAATAAACTACTGATATTTATTTAAGACACTGATTTTTCGGAATTTCACCTTCCAGTAATCAAATAGAATTTGATTTATACAATGCAAATGGCTTTAAGAATATGTGGATATAAGGATTCCTGATGAAACCAGTGTGGTTCAACAGTGGATTAAGGGTGTACGAGAGACCCACCCATACCCAGAAACAATTTTGGGCAGTGTGTTCATCCCTGAGGTCACCCCCAGTTTGAAGAGTTTCTAAGGGCAGATATGGCTTAAACCATCATGAGTTAAGTTGACCTTAAAGTGGGACTGAAAGCCCTGCTGGAAGTATTGACCCCTCAGGCTGGCTTTGACCAACTTGAATATCGTGGTGGGGAAGGAAAGAGAGTTTTATGGACAGAGGGATCCAGGACTAGTAGATTCTCCAAACATAATCAATCTGAACTTGCCCAGTTTCAGAGCTTTTTATATTCTATTCCAATTGTCATCCTCTACCACCCATGCAAAATAAAAACTTAAATAAATAAGTATACCATTTACTCTTGATCTAGCACAACTGTACATGTGCTGTAAAACATGCCTTATGTATAACATATTCTATATGTTTATAGTTCTCCATATCTCTACCTGAATAGTGGGAGAAAAAAACCAACTCTGGATTTTCCCTTTCAGTAATCACGTGTGTTCTTCAGTAAATCCTTGATCTTTTTTTCTGGTAAAAGTGAGCAGGGAGGGTGTCCGTCTAGATGCAGCTAAACAACCTCTCAGTTTTGAAATTTGATTATCCTATAGAAATCCGTAATTTGTGAAGTCTTTAAAAAGTAGTTATCCTTCCCATTGAAACATCACTAGTTTTTGCCTCTGCTGTTCTTAGGGCTGCTAGCAAAATAATTAGCTTGATATGATATATCAATACTGGAGCCCGCTGGTAATTGGCATCCAGGTAGAACTTTGAAGGGTAAGGTAAAGTAGCCCAGGGTAGTAGTGGCAGAGTCAGGGAGCTGTTGACCCGTGCAGAGGGAAGCAGAGAAAAGTGAAAGTGCCAGTAAGAAAGTTGACCTACTTTTGCTTGCCAGCAAAGCAGGTCCTTCCTGCAGCAGCCAAGGAATGAGTACCGTCCTGTCTCTAGACTCCCAGCAGCTGGCTGCCCTCATGAAGTGAGCCAGGACGGTTTGCTCATGAGGGTTTATGAGACTCAAGCCTCCTCGTGATTGAGTGTGTTCTTAGTTCCAAGCAAGTAACTTATTGGCAAATTTCTGAAATGACCATTTTATGAGTTGGGGATTACAAATATTTTCTCTATGTATATCGAATACTAGCATTAATTTTCTCCCTTTTTTTTTTTTTTACCTAAACACGTATTTTAACACTGTTAAAATGGTTTTATTCCTTTGCACCCTCTCACAAGGTCACACAAAACCCTCATTTGTGTTTTTTAAGTTCTAAATTAATACAATAAGTCCCCACTTAACATCATTGATAGTTCTTGGAACTGTGGCGAACTGATGTATAATGAACCCATTTTACCATAGGTTAACTATTATAAACAGGAATTAAGTTAGCACGGTGTCTCATCAACATTACAATTAAACAACATTCTTTGGCAACCAATGGTACAATGTAACTTAATAATAGCCACAGCATTCTGTCAAGGTACTGAGCAGAGAACATCACTCTTATTTTAGTAATAGCACATGTGTGCTGTTGAAGTCTACAGGGCAAAACTATTCGGGGCTTAAGTGGAAAAGGCTATCACAGGATCGCAGATCCTGTCTTTTGTTTCAGTGGGTGTAGAGAACCGGCAGAGAAGAGCATTCTCAGCTGGCAAGGAAGGAAGAGATACACTTTAGAAACCTAATCACAACGCTGAATTTAGCTGCGTCTGCACCCCCGAGTATCTTCCAGGTGTGGAGGCAGGCAAGTGGAAGACGTGTGACTAAGTAGAGATGCTGCTGTTTGGCTTCAATGGGTCTCCTTCTGCAGTAACTTAGAGTATGGCCTATGAATTTACCATCAATGTATTTCACTTCAGTGGTAAACATACTTTAAAATATTAAAAACTGCAAGGCTCAGATTAATTGTAAAAACAGTAACTTATTAAAGAACAAGGTTAGTTAGAAGCCAAGAACATCACTATTGAAACCTTATTTAACATACTACAAAAATGTCTTTTATTTGAAGTACTGTGTGGACCAGACATAGCCATCGTCTGCCTCTTGGCTCCCACAGCTAATAAATTAAGCCACCAACGCCTTAATATTTGATGGTTGCATTTCTATATTCAAGTATTCAGGGTGCACAGAATTTTATGGGAGGGAAAGGTGTACCTTTTCTCAAATGGCTAGCTAACTGGATAAGCACCATTTAAAAAATAACTTGTTCTCTTCTAGAATGCACTTCTACCATTAAATATTGTTTGGGCCTATGTCTGGGCTTTTAGCTTGTTCCATTAACCTGTCTCTTCCAAATTTTAATTAAATTCCACTTGTAAGCCAAGTCTGCACTATAAAAAATGCTTTGCTCTATGTCTGTAATTACACCGCTCCTTCTAAGAGCTTTCTTATGTTGTGTTTGTTGAAGAACACGGCTACAGCTGACTAAATTAAGAACAGACAAAGAACAGCTGGGCACAGAGGCTCAGCGCAGAATGAATCTGCATGGAAGCTACATGTGACCCTGGTAGCTAAATGCAGAATTTGCGGCTGGTGGTGGGGCAAGAGTCCCATCTGGCAGTAGAAGCCATGAAAAAGGAAAAGCTACGATCAAAATTCAGCCAAATGTAAATGCAGTTTATTAGTAATAGCAGTAATATTCTGTTAGTTAACATATATTTATTACTGAATGTGTCAGGCATTATTCTACTAATCAGGAGTACAGTAATACAAAAATTTGGCAAGGTCCCCGCTCTCATGAAATGTATCAGGAAAAGAATATGAATTAAGCAAATGATTTAAGATGTTTCTGATGGTGGAAGTGCTATAAATACCAAGGGGCAAGGTGATGTCAAAGTTACTGGGAAGGAAGTTGACTTTGTACTGAGAGTCAGGGAGGGCCTGTCTGCAAAGGCAGGATCAGAATGATAGCAAGGAGTCACCCCAGTGATGTTTCCCATTTCCTGGGAAACATTCCAGGAAAAGGGAAAATCAAGTAAAAGGTTGAAGCCAAATGAGGCTGGTGTTTTGAAGGAAGCGGGCAGAGGGTAACAAATGAGGTCCAAAGCAGTGCCACACTACACTGGCTGTTGCTCCGGGCAGTGAATGGCGCCCCCTGGGGTTGTGCACGGCACGCCTTGCTGAGAGGCAGGCAGGGAAAGGTCCTCATCGCCTCCCAGGGTTTTTGTGTATGTGTAGCTCATGTGCGCTGGGACACTACTAAAAAGTGTTTAAGTGGGAGAGCTCCTGTTTTTATAAAGACTCCCTATGGTTATTACTTTGGCGATGAGGATAGGGGAGGGGGAGAGAGCTCAAGCAGAAAATAACTGGGTCTTTGCAATGGTGGGACACCGTACTGGGGAGTCTGAGTCACCTCCCCAGGCCTTAGCTGAGCTGTGGGCCTCTTCGAGCTCATTTTCTGGCCAAAGCCATGTGCGTCCTCTGTAAAGCACACCCCTGATGAGCTCAAAGGGCCAGAGCTGGCATTCACTATCTATGGGATCTTCACGGAGTCATTCAATCTTTCTGAGTTTTTTTTCCCCCAATTGTAATATATAGATGACAATAAAAGTTCCTCCTGGAACTTTTGTGGGGAAATGAGGCAACACACAGAGACCAAACAGAATAAGCACTGTTAATTTCCTTTCTCTATGAAACTAGGGGGGGTCTATCCTCACCTTATATTAATAACAATTTTGAAGCACTTTCATCCTTACTCATTAAATAAGATCTAAATATTTTTTAATGAAGAAATGGTGTTTGAATAAGGCAGTCATTCGCTAGCAGCAAGCATCTAAATCGGAAGATTCCTACAGTGTCGGCAACAGGGTCTGTTCTCTTAAGCCCTTAATTGGGCCAAAGTATTATGTAACTGCAGATACAGTCTCAATTAAATTATTTACTAAGGAGGACTGTAAATTTACAATTAAAACGATCACTGAGGTACACATAGACTTGGGATAGCCCAGATACAGGTTTCTGAAAAATCTAAATCCTTAGCTGGCATTTCACTAACTCCTTTATGTGTTTGCCTGCCCCAGTAATAAATAGCAGGGAATAAAAAGAAATGTCAGAGTCACTGTGGTTAATAGTTCAGAGTCTGGGGTTCAAACTGCAGCTTTGCCACTACCAGCCGCAGGCTGTGGGCTCCCTCACCTCACATCTCAGCCACCCCATCTGCAAACACCAGCGGATACAGCTCCCATTTCCTGAGGTTATTATTTCAAATCCAGCATTTCAGTTGAAAACAGTGAACATCTGCACACTGAATAAATGTTACATGAAAGAAAGGCAAGCTGGACTGCTTTTCATTTTTACTGGTATGAACAGTGAGGGCTGAACTGTGGTTATTTGAATTCCCTGTAATTTGGAAAATAGCTATCCTAAATCACAGGCATTTAATCAATTAAGATGAGATAGAAAAATGCAAAATAACAAAATTTCATTGTTGCACACTGCACAGTTTAGCTGATTGCTTTGCACACTTTTTCTCAGTGGAGACTCAGAATCTGTTCCTTTAGAATTTAAACTTTGTAAACAGAAATATGCCCAGCGGGGAGTTATTCATGCAGCCTTCCCATCAACACAAAGAGGCAGTGTGTTCTGAAGACAAGGCAGCATTTTTTTCTTTTGAGGGGAGTAGGTAGTTCCTACATTTGAGGCAGCCTTCAGAAAGAACAAGAATGAATCCAGTGAGGTAAATAAGAAAAAAAGCTTTCCTTAAAGTCCTTGGAGACTAAACAGAGCTAACTATCGTTTAAACCACAAGGGAACATGAGGCAAGCCAAAAGTCCACGCAGGTATAGAGAGAAAACATCGTCTGAAGGAGGGGAAGGTTAACAGTCCATTATCAATGTAACATCCACTGATGCTACATTGGTTATGTGAGCAGTGGTTATGTGAGAATATGTAAACATGTCCTATTTTAAATGGATGTACTCCCACGGACTTCGGAGGAAAGGGTATGATGTCTGCTTTTAATTCTCAAATGGTTCAAAAAATTCATTATAAGTACACACACGTACAAAGAGAAAGGGAGAAAGAGAGAGGAAGAGAAGAAAATAAAATCTAAGAACTGATATATCTGGGTAAAGTGGATATGAAAGATTTACTTTTCTTACTATTCTTGCAAATTTTCTGTAAATTTAAAATTATATCAAAATAAAACTATTGGGTGACAGTTGGAGGAGAATAATAGGATGTTCTCATGAGCTCAAAAAGCCACTGTGCACATTACTTATTCGTTGTAGAGGGTGAAGGGGTCTTCGCAGTGGAGAAATCTTGCAGTTACCACCAGTAATGAGACCAGCTGGCCATCACATGACTCCTGATGCGCCGGGAAGGATATTACATCACCTAGTCATAACCTCACCCCAAAATTTAACTGAAACCTATCAGGGGTGTCCCACCTTTTGGCATCTCTAGGCCACATGAAGAAGACTTGTCTTGGGTCAGGCATTAAATACACAAACACTAACAAAAACTAATGAGCAAAAAAAAAAGTTTTAAGTAAATTTAGTTTTGTGTTGGGCTGCAATCTTAGCCATCCTGGGCTGCATGCGACCCACAGGCTGCAGGCTGGACAGCCCTGGAAGGAAACATCAGACCAATGTGAACAGAAGGACACGCTACACCACAGACACGGACTCTTCAAAAACGTCATGGACTCTTCAAAAACGTCACTGATGGGAGAGACGAAGGAAGGATGAGTAACAGTTTTAGATTAAAGAGGAATGAAGAGCTATGACAAGTATATAAAATACATGATCTTAGATTGGCATGAAAACAGCTATAAAAAGCATGCTATTGACAGAGAAAGAATTTTAAATCTGGCACTGTATATGAGATAACAGTATTACATCAACATTAAGTTCCCAGGGGTCTTAACTCTATTGTGTCAGATAGGGAGACTGCCATTCTCTTAGGAGACACATGCTTATGTATTTAAAGGTTCAGCATCATGTCTACAACTTACTTCATATGATTCAGGAAAGAAAATCTTTTGAAGATACAACAAAATCCTGAAGTGCCTGAAGAACACGGTCCTGAAACGTACCTTTCCCAGAATGCTGATGGCACACGCCATTCCGACCTGTCCAACACCCACCACGGTGATCTTATTGTTGGGGACTGCCGCCTCTTCTTCGGCAACTGGTGCAATCAGTTTTTCCTTAAGCGTTGCCATTGTGCACTGCAAAAACAGAATCAAATATTATACATGCGCCCTGAATGGGAAGGATCCTGAGAGTGTTACAGCTGCAATACTGAGTTAAAATACTGTTTAAAGAACCAGGTAACTCATTTAATGGAGAAGTTAATCAAGGCAAAACCTCCACAGAACTATTAGAAGTGGGTTCTTCAGCCTCTGATTCTGTATTAGTGTTTAACAAGCTGTAACAATTTTGTCTTGTGGCTATTAATTCATTGGCTAAGACAAGCATATTTATATTTAAATTAGCTGATGCTTTCATTCTCCTTCTAAAGAATTTATAGGTTAACTATGTTATATAAGTTAAGGCTCCCTATTAACTCGTATGTAAGTTATGAGTTAATATGTAAGTTTGGTCTACAAAAATTCATGGTCAATTATGAATATAATTTCTACTACTAATGGTTATTATCACTCTTGAAAGAGAGGGACTAAGTGATTCTTGTACTTAACTCATTTCTTTAAATGTGCCACAGTGTACTCAATATGTAATGTGTGCTTAAATAAATAGTGACAATATAATAGTGATAAGTAATATTTATACAAAAGGTGACAAAAAATTACCTTGAATCCCTTTTAGTGTACCTTAGAGGCTTATTGAAAATTGGCCAGATATTTACACATCTTCCTTTCAGGGGGTCACAGTAGAAAAATATCAACATTTGCTTAGTTCCTTTCTAGCCATTAAGAAAGGCCAAAATAATTACACATTAAAAAAATAAACTAAAAATTGTTGGAAAACATTCTACATGATAATAACAAATCTATCTGATGATCAGGTGTACTCTCTGAAGAACTAAAACAAAATGGCAAAATTCATCGTACCGTTCTGCCTTCTCGAACACAGAGAGGGTACACATCATAAATGAGCACTTCCTTCAGAATGAAGCATCACTTACAATTGTAACCCCTTATAATATCCATTATTGATGTTTGCCTTTTACTTCTAATGTTAGGCCATTGCCTTGGAGGCCACTGTATCTGTTAAAAATTGTATCCCTGTTTCCTAATCTTGGTGTTTGTTTCTCATCTGCAATTAACTAAGTAACAAAACCTAGTTTAGCAATTGTATATGTTAAGAGTTAGTAAGTGTCTGAGTTGGAATAAAATACTTTAACTTGTGTAACAACTATTTTGTTCTAAAATTATTCCCCACCTAAAAATTTCCCAATCTTTAGGGACTAAACTGAGAGATTATTTAGCCTTTACACAGAACATTTAGTTTCTTGGGGATGCTAAAGAAATATAGAACAGCATGCAACTACCTGTCTCTACAAATAGATGACCTTACAGTGAAATTCATATATGTCCTGCATTTTGAGCAGAATCAGAAGAATGCCACATCTCTTCTGGTTGAACAGACACAACTGTGTAGTTTTTCTTTATTATTTTCATTAGTTGCTTTAAGGCCCTTTAGGTATAGAGGACCCAGCAAGCAGTGGAAAACACAAATCCATAAATGGTTGCTACATAAATACTGACTAGTTGATAGATCTTTTAAAGTAACTTGGGTAATTTCAGAAACTGTAATTTGTAAGTCTTGAGCCAGTACAGATTCTTTCAGATCTTCCTGGAGAAACATGTTTTCCTTTAACTGTTCTTTAACAGGAGTTATGAGAAATTAAAAGAAAATGTTTTGTATTGTATGTAAGGCTGTTCCAAAGAGTGGTCGCTGTAAGAAGAATGGTAAACGGTAAAAACAACCCCGGGCTCTTGGTCCTTTACATTTCCATCCCCCTCAACCCCTTGTGCATATAAATTATTAGAGATAAACCAGTGCCTTAAGTCCAGGAACAAAGATTCCCCCTTATGAAATATCTCTCAATTCTAACTTTTTTAAAGCCCTCTTTGTCATCTAATTTCTCCACCGAAGGGGAGCGCCTGCCCTCCCCCCTCCCTGGGCCCTAATTGCAGCTTCCCCTGCTGGCCGCCTTCAAGCCGCCTCTTCCTCTCCGCGCCACGGGAGGCAGAGAAGAACAGGTCACAAGGGAAGGCGGCAACCACAGATCTCCTGTGATCAAGTCTCTGGCGGAAAAGTCTGGGCCTTCCTTACTCTCAACACCTGAAGCTGGCAAACTAAACAAAGCACCCCAAGCATCCAGAAATACGGACCGAAATGAACCCGCCTATAGCTCCAGCCAGTCCACACCGGAGCGCAGGGTCAGACCTGCAGACAGGGCTTGACCCTCATCCTGGCATAAGCAGTGGTATTTCTCCCACCCCGTGGTTGTTAATTCCAATTCCCAGGTTCAAGATCAGCCACCCTTAGCAGTCACCTGGCTCCTTCTCCCTCCCCTAGCTCGTCAGGCACGGATCCAGGCTCCCGCCAGCAGGCACTGGGGGCGATGGGGCCGCCAGGAGCCGGTCAAGGACGAGAGCCCGTTTTCAGCTGCAAAGACAAGTCTCTCCTCCGTGGAGCACAGGACCTCAGCGAGCTCTTCAGCGCGGCGAACAAAGCCTGGGTCTCAGCAGCAGGGCCTCGCTCCGCCTTGATCCCCGGCGGAGGGCCTGACCTGCCGCCTCCAACCCAGGAGTTGAGTTGGGACCAGAGTCGGATGCTCAGGACTAAAGACCTCAGAGGACACAAGTCTTTCCCGGTCCTTCCCCCAGTCACGCCGCACCAGGACTCCCTGTATCTCCCACCCGGTTTGCCCGACAGTCGGAATTCAGGATATTGAGCTGAAACCTACCGGGAGAGAGAAGGCTCCCCAGATGTTAGAAAGAGTCCCGCCAAGGAGACAATGTCAGCTGCGTGCGTCTGCTCCGGCGCAGGATCCGCAGGGAAGGAGGAGGCGGCGGCCCGCCCCCCTCTGCAGCCTCTTAGCTTTCTCTATTGTGATTGGAAACTGGAGCACCGCCTACCCCTCCCCTCCGCTCGCTCAATCCCCTTCAAGGACGAGGGCTCAAGTAGGCACTTGTCCTTCTCCGCAAATGAGCAGGTCACCTTCCGGTGGCTAAGGCAGCCCTGCTCTCCGCCCCCGTGACAGTTTACAGAGGCCGCATTATTTCTAAAACTTGTCTTCGCCACTTCTAGACTCTCATGCGTTTGTTCAGACAGGTTTCGTCCAAATAGAAATACATTTCAATTTTGCTTTTCAGGTCAACTTTAGAGGACCACTGTTTTTAACTAAGCTGTGGGTGATGTGTTCCCCTGAAATAGTACTGGTGCTCCTGAATATTTAAAAAGGTAAAGCCGAAGTTTCCATTTTCATCATCTTGGCATAAAGTTCATTTGATGCAACAATGACAGGTGTTGCTCCCCACCTGCCATCTAACTCCCCAAATATGCATGATTTACCTACGCGATGCCTGATAAAACCAGTGAGGCCCACTGCCTGACCTCTGAATTCTCTGCAAATCGGATGGTCTCAAGGGGCCACTCCTCAGGTGCAGTTTCTCTGTTAGTCCCTGATCATTTCGAAGCTGCAAGTTGCCAATCACCTGTGTGTCTTCATCACCCAGCCCAGTGCCTGGTACCTCACTGCAGCGCTGGTAAATGAAGGATGAAGGAGTGAGCGGGTAGAGGGATCCCAAAGACTCGGTCTCACATGTGTGTATTTTAGTTAAAATGCTTTCAGGTCTAGCAATCTCACAAACTCCTTTTATGTGAAAGGGAGTTTTTGCTAGTGTTCTTCTTCTAAATGGCCATCTATCCTGCTTTAAATTTCATCTCAGTGCCAAGGATCGAAGGGGCAGAGATGAATGTAACATTATTCCCCTTGGGGTCTCCCAGTTCAAAGGGGAAAGACAAGTAGGCAAACCCTTTCAATTACATCACAATTGATAAGTGGTAACAGAGATTTGGTTCAAGTATAATGAAAGCTCAAAGAGGAGAGCCGCTAAGAAAGGTTTGTGTCTACAGGTGCTGATAAACCTTAGACTTCCCAGGACTATAGAATGGAGTTGGTTCAGACTTTGAATGCCCTGAAGATACAGACCAACTACAAATTGAAACATGGAGATCAGGGAGAGGAAGAGTTTGGTGGAAGAGGAAAGCATTATTACATTCACCTTGAAACCAGTTTGAAGCAAGACTAGCAAGTCATTCTATCAAGGAATCTAGAAGCCACCTTCGCCCTCTTTCTTACCTACTTTCCAAAAACAGTTAATCTGCATCTTCTAAATAGCTCTCCAATTTTTCCTCTTCGTGCCATCCTTATTGCTGTGTAACTTTGGGTGGAGGAGAAAGTGGGGGGGACAGGAATAAGAAGAGATCTCTCTTTCTTCCACCCTCATTTCCATTCCCGCCCAATCAGTTCCCAATCTGTTGATCAACATGAGGTCTCCAACCTGCAACTCCGAACGCCAGGAGACCACACACTTCCTATCTCAAAGATTATGAGAATTGTATGCCACACTGGGGCAAGTTATTATTTAAGTGTGAAGCATGAAAGACAATTTTATTTGTGCAATGATTCGGACCTGATGGGTTTCACAATGTGCCACACCAAACGGTGGCACTTCAGCGTATCGAGTAGCTCAAGCCAAAGGAGTTTGAGAAAACAGCAGAAGCAGGAAGTTCACTCAGAGTTCTCTGTACCTCACCCTTCATCCCTGGCAGCAGGAGATAAATCTGCCACGTGAAAGGTGCCCTCCCTGTTGCAGGAGGAAGGAGGACAGTATCACCAGAGACAGGACTGAAGTATCTGTGTAAATAAACTTTGTTAAACTAATCTTTATCTTCCTAGTTCTTCACTGTTTACTACCTCTAGCCTAAATAAACTCTTCTGCCTTTTTAAAGTTTCACACATTGTTTCTTTGTCTAAAAGGTAAAAAAAAATCTTCCTGCTCTAGAGCTTTCAGCCTCATTTATTGACTTCTGAACTCTGTGAGACAGTCTGGCAAAATAATCCAACCTGTGGGTATCCTTAATTTATGAGGTCTTGTCTGGGAAAAGTCCAGCTATTGTTAATACAACGAAAAGTTTGTGTAAAGTAACCCGGCAGCCAAAGAGAGTGGACTGGAATGCGCATGCATGAATAATGACTTCACTGTACTAGTCAGTGGGGGTGGTAGGCACCATTCAGTGAGCATGTGCACTGTGTGGCCATCATATTTAAAATGACTGAGCCAGGAGAGCAATGAATCTGCATCAAATGTTCCTTGAAGCTTGAACATTTTTCTGCAGAAACTATCTGAATGATTCGGAAGGCTGCAGCTATGGGCAACCAGTGTGATTGGCAGCTTCATCACAACAACACACCTGCTTGTGCATCACATCTCGTGCAGAGTTTTTGGTAAAACATTAAGTCACCCAGGTGGCTCAGACCCCTACAGCCCAGATATGGCATCCTGTGACTTCTTGGCTTTTCCCAAAACTAAAATTACCTTTGAAAGGAAAGAGATTTCAGGACACAGATGAGATTCAAGAACATAGTTTGGGGCACCTGATGGTGATTGGGAAGACTGTGTGAGGTCCCAAGATGCCTACTCTGAAGTCAGCTGAGGCATCACTGTCCTATGTAAAATGTATCTTGTATCTTCTTCAATAAATGTCTCTACTTTTCATATTTACATGGCTGTACTTTCTGGGAAGACCTTGTATAACCAGTTGGTCAGAAGCACAGGTAGCAACCTGGACTCGTGACTGGTGTGTCTGAAGTGAAGGCGGTCTTGTGGGGCTGAGTCCTTGACCTGTGGGATCTGGCACTATCTCCAGGTGGATTGTGTCAGAACCGCGTTAAATTTGTAGGACGCCTAGTCACCATCTGCTGAGAATTAGGAGATTCCTTGGTTTGTTGGAAAACACATCAGAGGCAATGAATGCTAAACCAGTTTCTGTAGAGATAAAGCTAAATAATTCTCAGAAAGTTGGTTATAAACTGAATGCAAATGTCCAAAATCATCAAAAGAAAAAATTATGTTTTTCAAAAAATATTTATTGAGACATAATGTGACAGGTATGGATAAGATGCCTGCATTGGAGAGCAGACAAGGTCCACAAACCAGTTTATTCCTACATTATTATTCATTAATTATTGTATTATTTTATTTTTGTTGATTTTTAGAGAGAGGTGATGGGAGGGAGAGAAGCATTGGTGTGTGGTTGCCTCTTGTCTGCCCCCTACTGGGGACCTAACCCACAACCCAGGCCTGTGCCCTGACTGGGAATTACACTGGCGACCCTTTGGTTCACAGGCTGGCACTCAATCCACTGAGCCACAACAGCCAGGGCATAATTATTGCATTATTTTCTATGTGAAAAACTGTAAACCTACTTTTGCCTCACTCTGTATATTTTAGTAGAGGATCCTAGGTAACAAATAAGTTAATTAAAATGATAGCATAAAGAATATAAGTGTAATAATATATGATTGTTTTCTCTGGCCTTTTCCTGCCTGTAGGACTTTGTGAAAAATATTTATGTGCTGTGATAAAGCCTACTATAGAGTACTTTGCTTCTGTAGTAAATAATCCCCAGACTGCTGTTCTGCACTGTTTTTTAACCTTGTGACTTTAAATTATTTCCTGCTATCAGATTATCTACTGTTTTGAAACCATATTCATAGAAATTCAGAATAAAATAGGAGCTTTGACATAAACTAATCTAAATTAATACCCATTTTAGTAATTAGCCTCAACTTACTCTGCAAGTCAAGAATAGAACTAGAAATAATTCTGATTTGGCTTCTCTCTTGGTGCCTGCTGTGGGACTCTTCCTTTAATCTTACATTTCTGTGTTGTTTTTTCTTCTGTGTTCATGAAACCAGGTTCACTAATCTTATTAGAACCGCAAATTTTTGAGCATATTTTAATTTATTTTTATATCTCCAAGTACATAGTGTAAAAAGTAATAAATGGAGCCGCTTTAAAAGTGGCATTGAAGCTGCCACCCCAGAGGGAACTGCCTTGTGTGTGGTTCGTCAAACCTTTGGAATGTTAAAACATTCAAAATAACCTTGGATCTCAAGTAAGTGCTCTCAGTTTAGTCTCTTGTATTTTTAGGTTAACAATATTACCTAACAAGATACTGACATACCTCCTAGCATGATACTCATTAAACTTGGGCACAATATGAGCAAATAAACTTTCTGACTTTGGATTTGAGAGGCAATACATCCCTTGGTTCATAGACTCGACATTTTTTGCCATTTTTCTGTATTTCCCAGTCTTAGGTATATTTCATATATGTGAGGTTCCTATAGGAGTGGATGAATTATTATTTGAGGTAAAACTGTAAGAGTAATATTTGCCTGTACATGAAGAATTGATGTCAGAGAGCATCACTAACCACAAGGGGAAAATGAAGCCAAGGGGAGAAACCAGCATTGGTGGGGAGTTGAAAATTCAGTGTTTTTGAAAGCAAAATTATTAGATTTTTTAATGCCTCGCTATTCCTGGATAGTTGTAACACTGAGTACCTTTCCTGTGTACCTAGGAGCTGGTCCTTATTAAAGGGAAGTACTGCTATTCTGACTTATAAGAGAAGTTTTGAATCGATCCATGGTGGAGTCTAGTTGGATGTAGACTAGTTAGTGCTAAGCAGTATTGGATTCCTCATGCGCTGAATGATAGACATTTAGAACTAGTGTTCTCGGTAACTAATTTCTGGGCTCAACCCAAAGAGTGTACATGGATTTTATATCTCTCTTCCTTGGAGGCAGTTTTCCCTGGGTGTCTGAGCAATATCAGTGGATAACTATACATGTCTCACTGGTGGAAAAATACCTCCTTGCTCTCTCCTACTGAGGGAGATAAGTCTTTGCAAGGCACCTCAGGTGAGCTTTGTCTCGATAAGGGTTCAGTCCTCTTAGGGTGGTAGTGAGAAGAAAATGTTCACACAATGAATTATTATACAG